AGGCATAATTTATATTTATTTCCTAATTTTTTATGGTGGTTACGAGATTGGTCAAATCTACCGAACCTGTACAGAGAATCAATTCTGTAAATAACAGATAAAATACAAAGTTTTTTCTTAAGAAACTTTTGATAACTATCTGGAGATTATAAAGATTTTGCATATGAAATTTGAAAATATTCTAATGCTTTAAAGTATTTTTAATCTTAAAATCAAAATTGTTTTGCATGTTGGATAGTCAACATTCTGAAAGAAACAGGTTTACGAGAAATTATTTAATCAAAAACTCTAAATACTTAATTTAAAAACTAGTTATTTTGTGTACAAAAACCTTGTAATGTTTATCAATAACCTGCAAACTTTGGTAAAGATGTGCATACATTATGAAAAAATCATAGTATAATTACTCTCGTGGATACTTTCATGGTTACGAGCTGGGTGGATTCCACCCAGCCCATAATGGAAGGGTTAAATAATGTTTATTACCTTTTTTTTTTCAGCTTTTCAAATATTTTTTGTGTGCTACAATTTATTTTATAGAACAAGGTGGAAGTATAAAAAATTCTTGTTTGGTTGTTTTGAAGAAAAAAAAAAGACTAAGCTTTGAGGTTTATTGGAAAGTTTATGTTTTGTTTTTTCAGTCATCTAGAGTATGAAAAAGATGGTGTGAATTACATGCGAATGAAGTTCTACATTGAAGGAAGTCAGAGAAAGGGAACTGTTCACTTAGAAGTAAAAGAAGTAAGTTTTGTAGAAGATTTCTTCAATACAGTTTAGAAAGATTAATTATTGAAATCCTTACCATTGTAAAGTACTGTAAAAAATTTAGTTATTAAACATTTTTTGAGATATTTTTACTTGTACAACAGTTTTTGTTTCTGTTGTTTTACTTATTTAACATTGTTACTTCAAATTTTTTTATTGTTTTAAATTGGTATTTGCTAATAAGCATGTGCTAATATGACTATTATTAGAGTTTATACTGGTTATCATACTTTTTTTGTGTTTGTTCATGATTATAGTTTGTTAAAGACTTCTGAACTGTACATGATAATAAACACACAATTACACCAGTATACATGACTATTTATATACTTAACATACATTTGTATATTATACATTTTCTACATATCTATACACAATTGCACCAACATACGTAACACACACACAGGTATATACATTTGCTACATATTTGTACACAACAACATCAATGGATATTATACATTTACTTATAATGACCAAATTCAGATGTGTTTAAGTTCCAATTGAGATCTTGCATCACAATTACATTACTTGGTTTTACTGAAGTTGAACATTCTCACCCATGAATTTCAAGTTGCTATAAATATGAACATTCCTTTACTGATTAATTAACAGCTAGAGATGAGCATCTTTAATAATAAATAAATGGAGCTAGGGGTGAGCTTCTTTAATGATAAATAAATGGAACTAGGGGTGAGCATCTTTAATGATAAAGAAATGTAGTTAGGGGTGAGCATCTTTAATGATAAAGAAATGTAGTTAGGGGTGAGCATCTTTAATGATAAATAAATGGAACTAGTGGTGAGCATCTTTAATGATAAATAAATGGAACTAGTGGTGAGCATCTTTAATGATAAAGAAATGGAGTTGGGGGTGAGCATCTTTAATGTTAAATAAATGGAGTTAGGGGTGAGCATTTTTAATTATAAATAAATGGAGCTAGAGGTGAGCATCTTTAATAATAAATAAATGGAGTTAGGGGTGAGCATCTTTAATAATAAATAAATGGAGCTAGAGGTGAGCATCTTTAATGTTAAATAAATGAGTTAAGGGCGAGCATCTTTAGTGATAAAGAAATAGGGTTAAGGAACCAAGTTTAAATCCTAAATGTTAGTTTGTCCACTCTGTTATCATTTGAACTTAGGACGTGTACACATGTCTTGTCTAAAGGATACTCTGCTGTAGCACTGTGGTAGATTCAGTAGACTGATGGGAATATTTTGTTTGTTTCTCAGAATATGTAGTGCATAATCGAGGGATGTAGACATTTTGACGATAAAATATAAAAAAACTTTACTCTCCATTTCTATTTTACTCAGTGTTTTCCCATCGCAGCTTCAGAACTGTTGTTCTTGTACTACTAACCCTGATGAAGCCGCAATAGTGAAATGGTGACTGAAATAAAAAGGTTTTTCTATTATTATCTGAAGAGTAGAG